TAAAATAATATAGATATTATATTATATGTCGTCTTTATATTAGAAGTAATAAAAATCTGCTCCCAATAAATCGATTAGCAACCACTGTGCAATCTGCACGCAGTTGGCATGCAAAAATCCCTCGCACACACACACACACACATGCAGCTGCACTCAGAGCCACCACTAGACAATCTATGTTACATTTCTTCTTCTTCTTCTTCTTTTTCGCACTACACTCGTGCAGTGCACTTTCAGGTGGTGCTCAGCCGAGCCCAGACAATCAATTACATTAGCCCCACTGACCCAACCAACCGCAGCGGCATGCCCGAAAACCGAGTTGGGCACCTTTGAATGCGGCTCGCACGACCCACTCGTGTGGTTGCCGTTTTCCTAGGGGGGCTGGTGTGGATACAGTAGTTAAGGGCGTGGCAGTTGTCTTGACACAGCCAAATAGGCGACCGCAAGGCAAATAGAAATTTAAATCAAATTTAATAGTTTGCTAGCGAATGCAGCAGCTTTTGAGGTTGCCTAGCTGACTGCCTGCAGCTTTTGAGGTTTCGGATGACAGCTATTAAGGTTTGTCGTCTGCCTCTGCGGCTGCGGCAGGTGAAAGTCTTGCTCAAGTTAACCTGGTGTCAAGTGTCAGGTGTCTGGTGTCATATCTATAAATTTTCGAATTGCTGGAAAAATAAAATAATATCGTACACAAAATCCAAGTGTTTTGCCAATCGAGACCAAAAAAGGTGCTAAATAATACCAAAGGCAGTTGCCACAACTGCTTGGCCTATTTGGCACATTTTTTGCGTGGTTTATTAGCAAAAAGTGTAGAGATCGAGGGATAGAGAGAAGCATATAGAAGAATACCTATTAATGCCTTGCCCTAACACATGCAGACCTGGCTGCGGATCTTGTGGACCTTGCGGGTCATGTGGTCCCTGTGGTGCGTGTGGTTCGGATGGTCCGTGTGGATCCTGTGGCAGCTGCTGCGGACCATGCGGACCATGCGGACCATGCGGGCCATGTGGCAACTGCTGCTGTCCCAGCGGATCGTGCAGCTGCGGCCAAAAGCCCTGCGGCATGGTCGCCTATCGCCTCACAAGCGGCCCCTGTGGCCCAGTGCTGCCCAGCCTGGATCGGTGCGGTTGCTGCCAGTGCGGCTGCTATCCGCCATTTTATTTTGTGGCCAACAGGTGCGCCTGCTGCTGGGAATGGGGCTGCTGCGGTCCGTACTATTAGATCCGGGCGGAATGAAATCGCAGCGTCTGGTTTCTTCGTGAAGTTCAACAAGCATTTTGACATCGATTTCTTTTGAGTTCAATAAATTTGTATATTGTGTCATAGTATTTTCGTTTCGGATAATTTTTTTAGTTTTATTTTTACGGAGTTTTGGCAGCCCTGTGCCAATATTGTAAAGTAAAATATTATTCAATCTACGCACTTTGTTTCGAGCATAATAGAAAGCTATACATATAACGAGCAAAAACAATTCCAAACGCTGTTGAAGCATAAATTGCTTGTTTTCAGGTTAACCCCAAAATACAAAAAAAAAAAAAATAAAATAAAATAAAAATAAATAAATAAATAANTGCGCCTGCTGCTGGGAATGGGGCTGCTGCGGTCCGTACTATTAGATCCGGGCGGAATGAAATCGCAGCGTCTGGTTTCTTCGTGAAGTTCAACAAGCATTTTGACATCGATTTCTTTTGAGTTCAATAAATTTGTATATTGTGTCATAGTATTTTCGTTTCGGATAATTTTTTTAGTTTTATTTTTACGGAGTTTTGGCAGCCCTGTGCCAATATTGTAAAGTAAAATATTATTCAATCTACGCACTTTGTTTCGAGCATAATAGAAAGCTATACATATAACGAGCAAAAACAATTCCAAACGCTGTTGAAGCATAAATTGCTTGTTTTCAGGTTAACCCCAAAATACAAAAAAAAAAAAAATAAAATAAAATAAAAATAAATAAATAAATAAAATAAAAATAAATAAAATGAAAAGCAAACACTAGGAGGACAATAACAAAAAAAAAAAAAAACTATGTGAAAGCAAAGAGCGGTTATTCAAATTATATAAATATATGTGTAAAAAATTTTCATATATATATAAATACATATACACGCATATATGTATATGTATATATAGAATATCAAATGAACTGTAAACGCATTTGTTTTCTTTTTCAAATGGACAGAAGAATATTTTGCAGTTTAAACTGGGTCAGGGGCTTCAGTCGGTGCATTTTTTGCAATTGTATTTTTTCGAAACAAACAACGCGGTAACTATATAACTTATATACCTAGCATATCAGCAAAGTAAGTTTACAGATGAAATGCAATTTAATGAAGGTAAAGCTGTGCTTTATCTAGCTTTTAAATTAATTTACTAATATTTGATATTTGTAAATAAAGTGCCTGAAACTAAACGAAGTTTATTATAAATGATAAGCCCTTGTCTTGCTTGTGCATTTTAATATCAATTTAAAAAGTGTTTTCTTCCTTTTTTGCTTAAACAAACTGTTATTAGATTCATCTGAGAAAATTCTTGCCATTTCTTTTATGTATATACAGATTTCTTTACGATTTTCAGCTTGAAGACTTTTAGCTCTGAAGAGCACTATTTAAATAGTCTTCATGATTTTATTCAAGCTGCCACATTAATGTGATTGCAGTTTCCATGATAACTGTTTGATATGTAAAATTTGAAATTTAATATTTAACAACTAATAATTTGTCTAATTTTTCTATTAATCACAATAGTAAGAGATTTGAAACACCTGCAGTTCAACAGGGAACTTTTCAAACTGATTTCTCTGTAACACAAACATTTAAGCTTCTCTAATATGCATAACTAATTGGATTATATGCAGTTCTAATTGGCATCTCTTACGCTCGCTCAGTTGCCTGTTTGAATATGTTCAGAGTGTTGCTGCTGATTGTTTTGCCCAGGGGTGAATTACAATACAAAATTACTGCAATAAATAGAAATAATTCAAATTTTGGTTCTATTTTGTTTTTGGAAAATTTCAAGTGTTTGACAACTATGAGTGCAACGAATGCTTCTGCTTTACGGAAGTCGATGATGCACGTCCAGCTGTCTGTCATGACTACGATAAAAACGTAATGAAGTTCATTTATGGCGACGGCGCCTGTGAGCCTCTGCGACCTGGCGACATTTGTTTTCCAAAGGTCTACGAGAGTCTGGCGGCCTGTAAAGAGGCCTGTAAGAACTTTCTGGCACTTGCAGAGGAATGGATTAAAAATCCAAGCATCGATTAAAGCACATGGAAACCAACAAATTTTTAATTAAATTAAATACAA